AAAATGGACTGATGATATTAGTTAGTTGACAAATTATCTTCATCGCATAGCGGTCACGAACCATTTTCAGTAATTTTCTAATAGTAAGTGGTCAGATTCCCTATATTATTTTCTTCAGTATGATGACATGTGATGTCAGCGTGTAGTGGCTTATGACACCAGTTCTATGTTGGTTCATTATTCTTCTGTGGGCCCCTGTGTATCGCTCTTGTCTGGCTTCACCCTTTTTGATGTTATATTGATGTCGTCTCGCCAGTGTTGCACATTCACATCATGATTTGATTCGTTTCATCAAGGCACCTCTCTGAGGGCATTCAGTAAATCAGCCCTGTCCATTGCTCGTCCGTTTTCCACGTGAACATCACTTGCAATTCTGTCAGCTCGTTCATGGCTCGTCCGTTTTCCACGTGAACATCACTTGCAATTCTGTCAGCTCGTTCATTGCTCTTTACGCCAGAATTTCGCGGAACAAATATGAAATTAATGTTTGTTAGCCTAGATCTATTCAGGCACTTCACCCTGATGACGTTAAAGAGCTTCTAAATCGACACGGAATGACAATAGTCATTGCTGCTCATAAGCAATGGATCGCCAACTGTTCCTCCCCACAACGCTTAACGACTGAAGTGAAAATTGATGATGATGATGTTAATTAATGACACGATTTTAGTTAGACTGTCTAATCATTCATAGAACAATTTTTACCAGTAACAACCCGAATCAAAGCTATAGTTGAAACGATACAAATTAAATGCGACTAGATAAATAATTGTACGATATATAAAACAAATATTTACTCTGAGAACTCGATAAATACTATATATCAAAATTTTCACCTGAGAATTGAACATGATATTTTTGAAAAATTACTAGTTCTTTTTCTGTAAAGGAAATTGTTGCTGGCGAAAGTAAGAAAACTTTAGAATAAATGGCAGAGAAAAAATGCGAAAAGTATGACAATATCAGGCAGACTGTGATGAGAGCGACGTTCTGCAAAGGACCTGCTACACGATGATGATGATGACAAATATCACTATATGTGATTAATAACTAGGCAGTTGTTAACCCTGAATTGCTTGCACATGGGGTAGAGAAGACAAAAATCCCCAATGCCTAAGATGACTTCCCGGTTGCAGACGGGGAGTTTACAGAAGGTAGGAATTCTTGCTCCTGTGTTCCTGGGACCCTTGAAATAAGCAAATAATATGTAACTCCATGTATGACGTAACAGTCGTAGGAGGGTTGGTGCGAGACTGGCTCTCTAAACCACTAGACTACTGAAGCTGAAAGTGCTTTAGTTAGTGTACACTGTATACACACAAAACTGAGGTCCTGTGACAAGACGAAAGCCGAGAAGTGGATGAACAACCACAACTTTTCACGGGAGTTTGCGGCTGGTGGACCCTAAGAAGAAGATGTACTCATTCTGTCGTCGAGGCGCTATTTCCAATCGCCTCCCCCCACCCCCCCCCGTTTCTCTTCTCTCTTCCACAATCTCTCTCCAAAACACACACACACACACACACACACACACACACACACACACAAAGCCCTGTATGGTAGACTCACATTCTCGTAGTATTGTTTCAGAAAATGCCCATTGAGCAGTGACGTAGATCACGATACCATAACAACATAATATATACAGAGCTGGCGGCCCGCGGGCTAAATTTGGCCCGCAGAGTCCTAACAAATGGTCCACGTGATCATTGTCAATTGTATCATATTTATGATCTTTCTATGCTGGTGAGTCAGCTCTGTGGCTAAGTCGATGCGAACGCTTCGTAATGCCGGGGTGCCGGGTTCGATCCCAGCTGCAGACCATGCGCCTTGCGCTTGTTTCGACAATAGTATCAAGAAAGCCGACCGGTCAGCAGCAATGGCAAACTACTGGACTTAAATTTGCCTAGAAAAACCAGCCAGGGGCTGTTGCGGTTGGTTCTGCAACGTCCTGTAAAGGATTCGCAACTGATCTATGCAGGTGCTTTGGCGTCTAACCCTTGACGATCCATATTTTCAACGTTTTTCGCTTTGAGTAAACTTAGCTCAATAATTAGGATAAAACAACGCGGCACGACAAAACCTTACACATCGTAGTAGAGTTCGACTTTTGTCAATCGTGGGGTTGCATTGTGCATGCCTCTCTTGTTTCAATGTTCATATTACTTGAATGCCACCACTAAATAGACCGTAATTCTCCAATGACAGTGCCATAAACTTGTGTGGATTTTCCTGTCACCACTTTAGTTGTTCTCCACTTCCTCATAGCCTACAAATAATGCCACCGCCTTGTCTGTGGAAATCTTTGAGCCGGCTGGTTTGAGTTTATCTAGTCGTCTGCAGTCACAGACAACAAACAGTCTTTGGTTTCTAGCTGCACATTTCTGTAACTATTTGTTTGTAAATTTTCTCTCTCTTAGTGTTATAGTTGAACTTTGCCAAACTTCAGATTTTGTACGGTTTAGTTTCATTGTAGCTTTACTAACATTTTCGTGTGTGTATAGAAGAAGTTGGTAGTTAACGTACCCGCAATCTCTAAACTTCATTCATCACTTTAGTGTGGTGCCATAGACTAGTGGTGTCGATAGTTTAATGTTGGTAATTATTATACAATAAGACTGTATCCTCTTCAATTCTTCTTGGCAGATTTATAATTAAAATTAAATAAGAAAAACGTTAGGACATGTTATTTATTATTTATGAGCATGTATATAACAACATAACAGTATAAGTATAATAACAATTAATGGCTCTCCTTCGAACTTCTACCCCCGCAGTATTGCGGCCTGAAATATCCGTTCGGGGTGCAGTCCAATTAAAAATACGGACTTGTCAGAGTTCCCGCCGAGGAACAAATTGCGGCAAAACTAGGAGTACCTTACAATGTCACGAGACGGTGACGCAACATTGCAGAAGATAGTAGCAGATGATAAAAGCGACCGGTGACAATTTCGAGACATTACAGACGATGAAAGCGATATGGCGGGTAGATCACGTGCTCCCACGCAGATTAGCAGTACTGTTCTTCCGATTGAGGATTTAGCAGTAGTAGATGTCAGACTTGTCAGCATGCGCAAAACGCGATTAAACTCACCGCCGAGCGTATCCCCGCGCCGCTACGTGCAGCGCGGGGGATATGCTCGGCGGTGAGGCATAGTCACAGAAACAGGTCAGCAAGTAACATATCGCTGAGAACCTGTTAGAGCAATTGTTTTGTTTTTCCAAGCTGATCCTAGATTTGCCGCGATTTGGAAAGTGTCAACGATCGCTATTATCGTCTGCTACTATCATCTGCAGTGTTGCGTGCGTCTCTTAGAATTGTCAGGTAATCAGAAACAATTAGAAACAGGTCCGCAAGTAACATATCGCTGAGACCCTGTTTGTTTTGTTATACGGAGCCGGCAAATTATTAATTGGACTGTGCCCTGAACGGATATTTCAGGCCGCAATACTGTGGGGTAGAAGTTCGGAGGAGAGCCCAATTATTGTATCAAATATATCTGCATGTTGCTGTTATTGGATTTGTTTTGTTATGAATTGCTTAAATAAATATCATGTAGAAACTGTTGAGCTTTAGAATGTTTGTGTTTTTCTAACTGATTGTTAAACTTTTTTGTTTGCACATATTATAATCTAGTATTTTAGACAGTTGTCTGTCATTATTTTGTCCACTTTACTAATTACTACTACCACCACTGCTGCTGCTCATACTACTACCAAACATCTGTATTCTTGCCATTTCTGCCACCAGAAAAAAAGTCAGCATATTTAAAGCTTATATTGTTCACATTTTCCTGTGCAGCGTTGATCCCCTGAACATGCACTTTTGCTCTTGTGTCACAATTTGCAGAAACATTTGTTGCACTCTTGTCTTTAATATCTACACCATTGTCGTAAGCCTGTGGCTGTGAATCATATTTTCAGTTAGAGGTATATATATAGGTTATACAAATAGATAGGTCATATCTCATGGAGACATAGCCCCCAACAAAATTATATACAGAGATTGTGAAGAGGCTTGAGGGGGGGGGGGGGGGGGTGTGTGGGACAGTTGCTGAAGGAGATAGGGGATTTGAAATATTTTGGCTATATTAAAAGACATAACACTCTTATAAAAACCCTAATGGAGAGGAAAATTGAAGACAAGAGGCAGAAAGTGATGCAAGTGGGATAAAAGCATTAAGATATGGATGTCTAGCAATCTGAGAGAGTGTAGATCCAGGGTGAAAGAGAGAGCATGTTGGATATCTGTTTGCTGCCAAGCGTAAAGATGGCATCTGATTGAAGGAATCAAGAATTGACTTCACTGTATCTGAGATATGCCCATATGTGGTTCGTCCCCTTCTTCAGTAGCTAGTGAAGATTGATACCTGATGGATTGATTGATTAACTAAAGTTCATATTTCTTGTATGTCAGCAATAATGTTCAGTATTACTGTATTCCTGACATTAAGCACAGTTCTCTCCCTTTAAAGTGAAGCATATTTTTTTTAAATAGCAAATATCCACTTTTTAGGTTGACATCACATTCTCCCCACATGGATTTCCAAGGCTCCATAAAAGAAAAAAAAAATAGAATTACTGCCCTCGCCCCCTAGTGCTTTGTTACACTCTCTGCCTAGAGTCCTCCCAATATACAGTTGAAGCGCTCTCTAAATTTAAACAGACAGAGAGAGATGATGAGAACCCAGGGCGAGAGGGATGAAGGAAAATCCATTTGTTGTAACAACCACCCCAACCAGCATATCGCGAAAGTCAACTAATTATGTGTTTTCCTTCACGGTCAGAGTTTATCCGCTTATGAATAAGTCGGATCTGTAAAACGGATGTGTTCGCAAAACTCAAGTTTTGGAACAAGACCAAAGTGTAGAAGTGGACGAACAGCCAGATATTTTCTGCCAGAGTTTACAGCCAGTGAACGTAAAGAAGAGAAGACTCCAGATAAATGTCCATTGCATAATAACTAACCAAACAGCATCGGTTTTGTAGGAGGTACTACAATGGCGTACCCAGCCTTTCCTGCTGCAGTTGCTCGCATGCCAGATGAATGTCTGTCCAAGGTCGATGTGTATATCGAGTGCAAGAACCTGCTCAACAAAGATGCCATGTCAAAATCTGACCCCTGTGCTGTCGTGTATATGTCAAGACAGGGAGGTCATTTAGACGAGGTCAGTATTTTTTAATTAACCCGTTATATGATAAGATACTCCGTGTGTGCTGTCGTGTATATGTCCAGACAGGCAGGTCATTTAGACAAGGTCAGTATTTTTAAATTAACCCGTTATATGATAAGATACTCCGTGTGTGCTGTCGTGTATATGTCCAGACAGGCAGGTCATTTACACGAGGTCAGTATTTTTTAATTAACCCGTTATATGATAAGATACTCCGTGTGTGCTGTCGTGTGTATGTCCAGACAGGCAGGTCATTTACACGAGGTCAGTATTTTTTAATTAACCCGTTATATGATAAGATACTCCGTGTGTGCTGTCGTGTGTATGTCCAGACAGGCAGGTCATTTACACGAGGTCAGTATTTTTTAATTAACCCGTTATATGATAAGATACTCCGTGTGTGCTGTCGTGTATATGTCCAGACAGGCAGGTCATTTACACGAGGTCAGTATTTTTTAATTAACCTGTTATATGATAAGATACTCCGTGTGTGCTGTCGTGTATATGTCCAGACAGGCAGGTCATTTACACGAGGTCAGTATTTTTTAATTAACCCGTTATATGATAAGATACTCCGTGTGTGCTGTCGTGTATATGTCCAGACAGGCAGGTCATTTAGACGAGGTCTGTATTTTTTAATTAACCCGTTATATGATAAGATACTCCGTGTGTGCTGTCGTGTATATGTCCAGACAGGCAGGTCATCTAGACGAGGTCAGTATTTTTTAATTAACCCGTTATATGATAAGATACTCCGTGTGTGCTGTCGTGTATATGTCCAGACAGGCAGGTCATTTAGACGAGGTCAGTATTTTTTAATTAACCCGTTATATGATAAGATACTCCGTGTGTGCTGTCGTGTATATGTCCAGACAGGCAGGTCATCTAGACGAGGTCAGTATTTTTTAATTAACCCGTTATATGATAAGATACTCCGTGTGTGCTGTCGTGTATATGTCCAGACAGGCAGGTCATTTAGACGAGGTCAGTATTTTTTAATTAACCCGTTATATGATAAGATACTCCGTGTGTGCTGTCGTGTATATGTCCAGACAGGGAGGTCATTTAGACGAGGTCAGTATTTTTTAATTAACCCGTTATATGATAAGATACTCCGTGTGTGCTATCGTGTATATGTCCAGACAGGCAGGTCATTTAGACGAGGTCAGTATTTTTTAATTAACCCGTTATATGATAAGATACTCCGTGTGTGCTGTCGTGTATATGTCTAGACAGGCAGGTCATTTAGACGAGGTCAGTATTTTTTAATTAACCCGTTATATGATAAGATACTCCGTGTGTGCTGTCGTGTATATGTCCAGACAGGCAGGTCATTTTTAATTAACCCGTTATATGATAAGATACTCCGTGTGTGCTGTCGTGTATATGTCCAGACAGGCAGGTCATCTAGACGAGGTCAGTATTTTTTAATTAACCCGTTATATGATAAGATACTCCGTGTGTGCTGTCGTGTATATGTCCAGACAGGCAGGTCATTTAGACCAGGTCAGTATTTTTTAATTAACCCGTTATATGATAAGATACTCCGTGTGTGCTGTCGTGTATATGTCCAGACAGGGAGGTCATCTAGACGAGGTCAGTATTTTTTAATTAACCCGTTATATGATAAGATACTCCGTGTGTGCTGTCGTGTATATGTCCAGACAGGGAGGTCATTTAGACGAGGTCAGTATTTTTTAATTAACCCGTTATATGATAAGATACTCCGTGTGTGCTGTCGTGTATATGTTTAGACAGGGAGGTCATTTAGACGAGGTCAGTATTTTTTAATTAACCCGTTATATGATAAGATACTCCGTGTGTGCTGTCGTGTATATGTCCAGACAGGGAGGTCATTTACACGAGGTCAGTATTTTTTAATTAACCCGTTATATGATAAGATACTCCGTGTGTGCTGTCATGTATATGTCCAGACAGGGAGGTCATTTAGACGAGGTCAGTATTTTTTAATTAACCCATTATATGATAAGATACTCCGTGTGTGCTGTCGTGTATATGTCCAGACAGGCAGGTCATTTAGACGAGGTCAGTATTTTTTAATTAACCCGTTATATGATAAGATACTCCGTGTGTGCTGTCGTGTATATGTCCAGACAGGGAGGTCATTTAGACGAGGTCAGTATTTTTTAATTAACCCGTTATATGATAAGATACTCCGAGTGTGCTGTCGTGTATATGTCCAGACAGGGAGGTCATTTAGACGAGGTCAGTATTTTTTAATTAACCCGTTATATGATAAGATACTCCGTGTGTGCTGTCGTGTATATGTCAAGACAGGGAGGTCATTTAGACGAGGTCAGTATTTTTTAATTAACCCGTTATATGATAAGATACTCCGTGTGTGCTGTCGTGTATATGTCCAGACAGGGAGGTCATTTAGACGAGGTCAGTATTTTTTAATTAACCCGTTATATGATAAGATACTCCGTGTGTGCTGTCGTGTATATGTCCAGACAGGCAGGTCATTTAGACCAGGTCAGTATTTTTTAATTAACCCGTTATATGATAAGATACTCCGTGTGTGCTGTCGTGTATATGTCCAGACAGGGAGGTCATTTAGACCAGGTCAGTATTTTTTAATTAACCCGTTATATGATAAGATACTCCGTGTGTGCTGTCGTGTATATGTCCAGACAGGGAGGTCATTTAGACGAGGTCAGTATTTTTTAATTAACCCGTTATATGATAAGATACTCCGTGTGTGCTGTCGTGTATATGTCCAGACAGGCAGGTCATTTAGACGAGGTCAGTATTTTTTAATTAACCCGTTATATGATAAGATACTCCGTGTGTGCTGTCGTGTATATGTCCAGACAGGGAGGTCATTTAGACGAGGTCAGTATTTTTTAATTAACCCGTTATATGATAAGATACTCCGTGTGTGCTGTCGTGTATATGTCCAGACAGGGAGGTCATTTACACGAGGTCAGTATTTTTTAATTAATCCGTTATATGATAAGATACTCCTTGTGTGCTGTTCATCCACAATTTTCCTCAGGGTTTTCTTAGCTCCTGCACTCATAGACTGCTATTCTTTATCCTCTGGTCCAGCGCTTCTCAACCTGCAGTTCATGACCCTTTTTTGTGTGTGTGTGGATCGAACGACCTTTTCACAGAGGTAGCCTAGGACCATAGGAAAACACATATTTATTGAAGTTATAAAAGAAAATAATTTTTTTTTTTGGGGGGGGGGGGGGGGGTCCCCACAAGATGTAGGAACTGTAATAAAGGGTCACAGCATTAAGAAGGTTGGGAGCCTCTGCTTTAGTCTTCTCTGCGGTTGAACTTTCTGTTCTCAGCTTTGTTGTACTCACTGCTGGTATTTTCTCTGCCCAGCCTTGTTGTATCTTTTACCAGCACTTTCTCTTTCAAGCTTCACTGTACTTCTACTAGTACTTTCTGTCCTGAGCTTTGTTGCACTTTCTTCTTCTCACTTCACCCTATAAGGATATTCAGCATGTTGTGTTGTTGTTTACAGCTAGGCTGCTATATCTGCAGTGGATGAGGAATTGGTTACCACCTGCAGGCAGGTCTGACTAGTCAGATGAACATTAAAGAGTAAGTGTAGCTTGTGAGGAAGAGAGCTGGCCACCTGTCCTAGTTATGAGGAACCCAGTTAACTTGGGATAGCAGCATCTGCTTCGTGAGTTTCAGCATTGATAGTATGTCAAGAGCACTTCTAGTGTTACGTGTCACAGCACCCTCTTAGCACGCCACATTCCCCATCTCACAGCACGTTTTTTGTTTATCACATTCCACTTGAAACACACTGCTTTAGAACTTGGCTTGATGAATTTTCATGTTTCTCACTTTCAGATTGGCAGAACTGAAAATGTGAAAAACTCATTGGATCCCAAGTTTGCCAAACCCATCCGACTCAGCTATTACTTTGAAGAGGTGCAGAAAGTGGTTGTGGCCATCTATGATGTGGATAACTCCACCCACAGTCTCAATGACGACGACTTTCTCGGCCAGATAGAGTGTACTCTTGGCCAGGTTGGTGGGCATCATGTGATGGCTGTGTTGCTACATGTGAATACCATAAATTGAGTACCTGATAGAGAAATTTGAAATAGTCTTTTCTTATTTTTTTACCCAGCATGTTATGAGAAATACAATTCAAAATTGAGTGCCAGATTTTGAATGACCATTGGCGAATTTGTTGGGGGGAAGTGGGAAGATTTATATGGTTCCACCTTAACTCTTTCATGATCAGAAGTATTTTGAATATTGTCTAGGACTGAAATAGTAGTCATGCCCTCTGTTTGTTCTGTTTGTCTTTAAGGTTAAAAATGACACCCTTTCCCCCGCCTTTCACTGGACATGTAGTATACTGTTGTTTTTCCAGCTATTGCTGTTGCTTTGTCTGTCTGTGTCAACTTGTCTGTCAGCAGTATAGTAAAATGACAAAAAAATGTATCTAGAAAGGAAGTCTTTTTGATAAAAAGCCCTCATATTTCTGATCTGTTAGTGAAACCTCTAGGAATCAAAGATAAATTGTGAGTCCTCTCCTGCAGAGTTAACAGTGTTATAAATGTTTCAGATGGTCTCCAACAGTCCGTACGTCAAACCGCTGCTACGTAAGGATGGCCAGAAGGCTGGGCTTGGACAGATCACCGTAAGTATCGTATATTTGTGCTGTGTGTTACTGAAGCAGAGAATAATGGTAGTATTGTAACACCTGCCACTCATATAATGAGAGGTGACTCTCTGCTGCTGTTCACCTTAGTGTTTACCGGCTGTAAGCTGTCAGAAATCTGTGTTTGTTCATCCACTTCTGGACTTAAGTCTTGTTGGGGAACCTGAGTTTTGTGTGTACATCAATTTTACTGATCGGGGTTACTCATATGTGACCTTTGATTCCTGGCCTCTCATACAGATGTACTCTCACGCATAATTAGTTGCCTTTTATGCATGCTTGCTGGGGAAAGAAGTGGGTATCTTCCTCCCTTCCCCAAAATAGGACTTGGAACCCACACAGGGAAATACGAGGTGACTAGTTAGGGTTGTCTGGAGGCTGGCTACTTTATCATGTTGAAAACTTTAGCCGCAAAATCATCCAGAGTCAACCAGGTTTACACATGAACTTGTGTGAGTAGGTCAAGCACCTGTGCTTAGTTGGGAGAAAAAAGGCAGAAGAAGATGTATCATACAGTACAGGTATATTCAGCTACTCAAGTAATTCAGTGTCACTAGGAGGTGGGGTGGGGTGAGATAGGGGAGGGGGGGGGGTCAAAGTTGGGGATTGTACTCAAGAGTCCACTCTTGATCACTGTGTGGCACATCCTGGCATACTACTCACAGAGACCACTCTTGATCACTGTGTGGCACATCCTGGCATACTACTCACAGAGACCACTCTTGATCACTGTGTGGCACATCCTGGCATACTACTCACAGAGACCACTCTTGATCACTGTGTGGCACATCCTGGCATACTACTCACAGAGACCACTCTTGATCACTGTGGCACGTCCTGGCATACTACTCACAGAGACCACTCATGATCACTGTGTGGCACATCCTGGCATCCTACTCACAGAGACCACTCTTGATCACTGTGTGGCACGTCCTGGCATACTACTCACAGAGACCACTCTTGATCACTGTGGCACATCCTGGCATACTACTCACAGAGACCACTCTTGATCACTGTGTGGCACATCCTGGGATCCTACTCACAGAGACCACTCTTGATCACTGTGTGGCACATCCTGGCATACTACTCACAGAGACCACTCTTGATCACTGTGTGGCACATCCTGGCATACTACTCACAGAGACCACTCTTGATCACTGTGTGGCACGTCCTGGCATCCTCACTCACAGAGACCACTCTTGATCACTGTGTGGCACATCCTGGCATACTACTCACAGAGACCACTCTTGATCACTGTGTGGCACGTCCTGGCATCCTCACTCACAGAGACCACTCTTGATCACTGTGTGGCACATCCTGGCATACTACTCAAGAGACCACTCTTGATCACTGTGTGGCACGTCCTGGCATCCTCACTCACAGAGACCACTCTTGATCACTGTGTGGCACATCCTGGCATACTACTCACAGAGACCACTCTTGATCACTGTGTGGCACGTCCTGGCATCCTCACTCACAGAGACCACTCTTGATCACTGTGTGGCACATCCTGGCATACTACTCACAGAGACCACTCTTGATCACTGTGTGGCACATCCTGGCATACTACTCACAGAGACCACTCTTGATCACTGTGTGGCACGTCCTTGGATCCTACTCACAGAGACCACATCTGGGCAAACACAAGTTTGATAAACAAAGGTTGAGGCCACCAAGTCTATGCTGAGATGAACAAAACCTGTTTTGCATGCTGAAGACTGTGAGACTGCAAGGGAGTCACAACAATTCCTTGTGATCGTTATAAATAATCAGTACCCAAGTTTGGCACACCCCGTGTTCTGAACACTGGCAGTCGGCCTGGTATGAGAGTGTAGCAGTCCCCAGTTCTTCTTATCTATGAGGAGTTACAAGGGGATCTGGTCAGGGCTGGACACTCAGGGGAAAGGCGAGACAGACAATCAGACAGGTACTGATACCATTAGAATTTTCACTCTTTGCTTGCTGCTGAAGATGGGGGACGGAGCGCTTATGAGGGTGTTCCAAGTGCTGTGATGTCGATTCTTAGTTCAACATTTAACATTCTTATCCTAAAAGAGTAAACACCTCAGACTGCAAGTTCATTGTTTTATCAGAAAGGCATTCTGTAGACATCCAAACTAATTGTAAGAACTATGTGACAAATATGTATACACGATAACCTCAAAATTTAAATTTGACACTTTTCTTTGTTTACTCTTAAAAATGGTGGTTATCATGTTGTGCTGCGGTTACATCTAGTCTGCACAAACCATCCCATTTCAGCAAACCCCTAAGTAGTAGCCTTTTATGACATGTTTGTTAGGGATCAGTGAATCTATTCTTGTTTCCTGCACAGTGGGGTCTCGGAGCCCACATAGTGATTGATAGTGCAGAAATCCCAGCTCTTTCTCTTATGTTGTTCTATTTCAGATACGTGTTGAGGAGGTGAAAGAGGGTGGAGAGGTGGCTCAGATCAACTTCAAAGCCAAGAAATTAGAAAATAAGGTTTGTAACCTGTGATGTTTAACCTATTACACATTGTTTGTAATCTGTGATGTTTTACCTCCTACATATTGTTTTTAATCTGTGATGTTTAACCTCCTACATATTGTTTGTAATCTGTGATGTTTAACCTCCTACATATTGTTTGTAATCTGATGTCTAACCTTCTACATATTGTTTGTAATCTGTGATGTTTAACCTCCTATATATTGTTTGTAATCTTTGATGTTTAACCTCCTACATATTGTTTGTAACCTGTGATGTTTTACCTCCTATATATTGTTTGTAACCTGTGATGTTTAACCTCCTATATATTGTTTGTAATCTGATGTCTAACCTCCTACATATTGTTTGTAATCTGATGTTTAACCTCCTACATATTGTTTTTAATCTGTGATGTTTAACCTCCTACATATTGTTTGTAATCTGTGATGTTTAACCTCCTACATATTGTTTGTAATCTATGATGTTAAATCTTCCGTATACTTTTTGTAATCTATGATGTTAAACCTCTCACATCTTGCTTGTAAGTAGTTATTTTTCAGACAATTTTGCTGTTGTATTAAATAAACCCACACAGAATTTCAAACTGCGTGTATTCGTTTCAACCAGCCATTCCACATTGAATGTTGAGAACAAATTTGTCAGTCTGTACTGCCTGGTGAAAGAGAACTGCTTATTAAACTTCTTCTTCTAGTCCATGCCTTGTGGTGTTGGTAGTCGTGTCTATCCACAGCTAGTAAACTGTTCATCATAATTTGCTCGCTTTGTTATTTTGTTATTTTACAATTGTTCTCAGGACTTCATGGGCAAGTCAGACCCTTACTTGGAGATCCAGAAACCAACACTGGACGGAGGCTGGCAGGTCGTGCATCGAACTGAGGTACCTTATGTCTGACATAGTGCAAGATGTTAGTTATGTGTGCCAGATGCAGGATGCACTTATGAGAAACATACAACTCAGATGAAAGCAGCCATTAGAACCCATCCTGAACAGTTCTTCATGTTCACTGGCTGTAAACTCTGGTGAAAAGTACTGGTTGTTCATCCACCTCTGGAATTTAGTCTTGTTCCAGAACCTGAGTATGGTGGGCACAGATCTGGGTTATTTGATTGCAGACTATTGGTTCCATGCCTCTCAGGCAGATACAGTTTGATTGTGAAGTTCACAACAGTTCTTGTTTTCCCAACAATGGGACCCGGAACCCACACGGGGAACCCAGAATACAATGGTGAAGACTATGTCATCTTCCTCCACATGAAAGAAACAGTTGTACTTAGATTTCATTTCAAACAGGACACAACAGACATGGTAGCCATATGTACAAGAAATTCAAGATGTTTGCCCATGTGGGAAGGAAACACAGAATACCGAGCACGTTCTGCAAACTTGCTCTCTTTGTGCAGTAAAGAGATCCCAGGTTTGGCATTCCAGTGTAAGCTGAGCTGTGGGGATCAATGGAGGACATGCATCACAACCTTCATAGAGGCCTGTGGTCTGCTCATGTGAAAAGCACTGTCAGGGAAAACTAGAAGAACACACAAACTTTAAAAATAAAGGGTAACAAATAGGGCACACAGGCCCGTCTTACATTTGACCCTTCCAAACACCCACCTTTCATACAGCAGTTGCACATTATCAATAAAGCATGTTATGATCATATAATTATATATATAATGAATACCAAGAAAAAAACTTAAAAGCATGCACCTACATACATACACACTTACATACATACACACATACGGACCACATATAAACACACATCATGTTTGGTTGCTGGCTCTGCGGTTGTAGGTTTGAACTCCCATCAATGTAGAATTGTCAAAATGATTTGGGCTCCCAGGTTGACAGTCTAAAAATGGACACTGGTAAATGTTTTTTGAAAAGACAGTGAGTGGTATTTGTGTGCCATTTAGGTTACAAATAATATGATCTATATACCCAGTATTATAGGTCTAGCCCTATATGCCCAGTATTATAGGTCTAGCTCTATATACCCTGTATTATAGGTCTAGCCCTATATACCCAGTATTATAGATCTAGCTCTATATACCCAGTATTATAGGTCTAGCTCTATATGCCCTGTATTATAGGTCTAGCCCTATATACCCAGTATTATAGGTCTAGCTCTATATACCCAGTATTATAGGTCTAGCCCTATATACCCAGTATTATAGATCTAGCTCTATATTCCCTGTATTATAGGTCTAGCTCTATATGCCCTGTATTATAGGTCTAGCTCTATATGCCCTGTATTATAGGTCTAGCTCTATATGCCCTGTATTATAGGTCTAGCTCTATATGCCCTGTATTATAGGTCTAGCTCTTTATGCCCTGTATTATAGGTCTAGCTCTATATGCCCTGTATTATAGGTCTAGCTCTATATGCCCTGTATTATAGGTCTAGCTCTATATGCCCTGTATTATTGGTCTAGCCCTATATGCCCTGTATTATAGGTCTATGTAATAATTCGTGGTTTCAACTTGGAATGAGTCAATGCTTCACTTGGAATGAAGCGTGGTCTACTTGGAATGAACCTTGGTTCGGCTTGGAAAGAACCTTGGTTTACACCGGCTTCAACGTCTAGGGTTGACAACACTAACGCCACTCAGCTTCATTGTATGTACATTCTGTCCGTTTATTCTGGTCTATTTATTTCACATGTTCAAACATTATTCACACTTTATCACTCGCGACATATTCGAACATTAACCATTTGCCCGACATAAAGACGACATCCTCAAATACTACAACCGTCTTTGCTGACTTCTCATGATCGACTGACCACGAGGCTAGCTCGGGCTTCGCCTCGCTTACTCCACCGGCCACAAGTATCTCGTGCCGTCACTTGTAGCACGGACTTCCTGCTTGCCACAATGTACTCGTGGAGACCATGCAAAGCAGGGTCATCACACTCTCCCCCCTTTTTAACAAAATGACACTTTATGGAACATCAAGTGTCATTTTCATTTAACCAAATATAGTAAATCAATTTAATTGTATTCCCACTAGGGATTATGGTTCCTGATTATCCTTAATTACTGCCCTTTAAAACTGCCTTTAATATTTACTGCATTACTTTTCCTAGTACTGAGCTGGTGAAGAGTTTAAACCATCTTTGCACCTATTGCATCTGTAGTATTGTCTAGTCACTATATCTACTCTATCAGGTTCGAAGTGAAATGATGATAGTGATGATGATGATGTCAGCTTTGAGATATTTGCCACATAGAAAAATTTGATTAACCAATATTTCTACATCACCTTTCACAGGGTGTTTAACCCCAAGGACTCTTAGCCGATATGATAGTGGTAAGATATATTTATCATAGTGCTTCTGGTTTCCCAAAAGCCCCTATAACACCTTTTACAGGGTAATTACCCAAACCCAAGGAATCTACCACAGAAAAAAAATGCATGTTGAGATATTTTTTCATAGACCAAAGTCTCACCTTTAACAGAGTAATTACCCAACTCCAAGGAATCCAACATGAAAACAATGATAGTTGAGATCTATTTTTTCATAGATCTTAGAGTTTCCTCCAAGTCTATAATACCTTTAACAGGGTAGTTAACCCCAAGGAATCTCAGACACCTTTTCCCCTTTAGATGGACACAGATGAGTTCAACTGCTCTACTATGCTTGTGCTTTGATGTGTGCACTCTTTCTTTACCATCAGTCCATCTAGTCAGCATCAGTATAATTATAGCAGTTTATAATCTTGGGTGTCGTGGACCAATTTACCATGTCCCTGTGCTGTACACCTATGCTTAAAACATTTCAAATTGACATTTTTATCTAAGTCATTCTGTGGAAAAAGATTTCTATATGATCTGTCGCTAAATCTTGATTTAATTCTTCTGTGCTGTTCCTGGGGAGAGAGATTTTTTTTTTTTTTTTTTTAAACTTTTGAACTACTAACTCTGTTATTACATGAATACTAAACTATTCCTAATGAACTACTAACCTAAGTAAACTACATGTACACTATTAAAATACTACCCACAAATCTTTCATTCATCATTCATACCTGTTTTATTCTCTTTCATTCCCATTCATTCCATTAACTATCCTTGATCTTGATCCATCCCTGCAGGCTGTGTGTGTCTTGCTTGTACTCTGGCGCTTGCTTTCAAGGTTCTCATTCCTTGGTTTGCTCGACAGTCTGCTCTGCTCTGGGGTCTCTCTTAGTAGGCTTGAACTGATAATCTTAGAGATATACTGACTAAAAATATACTTTAATTTTAAGAGTTAACACAATACTATTAACAGTGTTCAGTGACTGCATACACTGATATGCCACCTTTAAAATAATTAGGAATTGAATTAAACGGAAGGTGTTCAATACACACAGTATGTGGTTGCTTTTTATCAATGAAATCAGGTGTTTATGCACATTTTTTAAAATACTTGCTCATTAATTTAAATTTATTTACACAAACACTTTAGGTATGTAACTTGATCTAACTTTCACAGTAGCTATCACAATTTTGTACACACGATGTAATACTGACATTTTTGTTGTTCTTGATTGCGTTTAAACGGTCGGAATGCTTCATTATTCTCGCATTCTTTATTTTATGATACGTTTGGTATTCGACGATCTTGATATTGTATAGATGCTCTTGAAGTGTCGCTTAGAATTTGATGATTTTGAAATGTTTCAATGGTCGATTTTGAGGTATCTGGAGAAAATAATTTTATGTTCCTTGATAGTGATTTTCAAATTTGAATACTTCAGTGGTTAATATGTTTCTGTTCATTCCCTGTACAGTACTGGTTGGTGATTTCTGATTTTGGTTGTTATATGCCAATCTTGAAGGTGAAGAATGATAAAATGTCAATTCTTGATAATTGTTCAGGTTTTGGTTGTAGGTAGTTCTATGTAGTTTCCTGACTGATAATAATCTTGAACTTCATGCATGGTGATATGTTAGCTTGATGTTGATGTTCAGGATGATGGACCGTATAGTTTCAAGTTAGTAAATAGTGATACTTCAGTTGATGGTAATTTTCCTTGAATCAGCTGTTATTTTTGTTGATGGAGATGACTTTGTTCCCAGATTCGTATATCCTCTTCATGGCAGTCTTTGATGCCTTTTATATTTCCTAAAACAACATCTACTGACATGTTATCAAAAACAATTGCTTTCATTTGTCCTGAAATGTATGGGGATTTTAGATTTATAATTACTATTGGTAATTTAAATTTGCCATGATATACATCAACATACCAAACATAATCTCCAGTGTGCTCTGCTGATTCTAATAATTTTTCCCTCACTATGGTTAAATTTGTCTTCTTATTCCGTTGTAGGTCACCATGTTTGTTGTTAACAAGACATTTCGTTCTTAGTTTTTCCCGATTTTTCCAATGTATTGCTGTTCTAATATCATCATTTGTTATGTTTGCATGGTTAAGATCTACACCTTCATCGACAGTATCTTTATCCAAACAATCTCTTTTCACTGATGTCTCATTTTCATTTATCCGTCTTAAACTTTCTGTCTTTGGAATTGCACTTCCTTCTTTATTCCAATTCTGAGTTGCTTTTGTCTCGACTGCTGTCATTGTTGGAACAGTGATATCCTTTGTTTGATTAATTTTCATTGTTTCTGAGTTTGACTTTTTCTCTGTTTCAGTGGCTGCTGTCTTTTTCGTTTCAACTTTCTTGCTTGTATTACTACTCTTGCTTGATTCTAATTCTGCAATCACGATTTCGTTCTTAATCTTTTTAGTTCCTGGACATTTCAATTGGCTTTTTCCTATAAACATGATATGTGGAGCTGTAACTTTTCCTTGATTCTTTCTCCAGTAGCACAGTGCACAATTTAGAGTAGGAATGCCTTCTGAATCCATTCTTTCTGAATTAGTTTTTGCAAACAAGGATCTTTTCTTGTCTTTTAACATCTGTTTCCCAACACAGTGTTTTACAATATGTCCGAATGCCTAACAGAAATAACATTTTTTAAGGTTGTTATTTTGTTTATTTCGCCATTTTTTATTTACCAAGTCTTCAATGTAACTTGAATATTTAGGATCTTTGTCGCAGATAGTTGAAGAACTGTGCTGGTACTTACAAAAAATGCACATCTTGATCTTCTGGTTACTTATCGATGTATCTTTCATTGTTGTCGCTGAAGATACTTGCGACAAAGCGTTCTTACTTTTTACCAACCGTTTAGATGCCATTCTGATAAACGCACAATCGATGCAAAAAATGTCACCGTAGTAAGAAAACTGATCGTAACTGTAAATAAAATTAGTTCATAGTCCGCTAGTTTCCGCGAAACAATAATGGTCACAAACCTGATTTAATTTACAAACCAGATTTAAAATATTTATGATATGTACCTTCGGTAAACATGAAACTTCCTGAAACCGCAAAACTTAGTGATACGGTGTGTGACAGGGTGTAGATGACACACAGTTTTTCATTGGTCGGCAGCTGACCTGTCGGCGCTTGCTGTGTTAATTATAGGCTCTGCTCGGGTGAAGACGATGTACACTGTTTTCCGCATGTTTATCTTACCTTGGAAGTAAAATTGTTTTCATATGATTGAGATCCGCGTGGTTTCGAATTTCCTTCGGACAAGCTCCCCACTTGTAATAATTCGTGGTTTCAACTTGGAATGAGTCGATGCTTCACTTGGAATGAAGCGTGGTCTACTTGGAATGAACCTTGGTTCGGCTTGGAAAGAACCTTGGTTTACACCGGCTTCAACGTCTAGGGTTGACAACACTAACGCCACTCAGCTTCATTGTACATCTGTCCGTTTATTCTGGTCCATTTATTTCACATGTTCAAACATTATTCACACTTTATCACTCGCGACATATTCGAACATTAACCATTTGCCCGACATAAAGACGACATCCTCAAATACTACAACCGTCTTCTCTGACTTCTCATGATCGACTGACCACGAGGCTAGCTCGGGCTTCCCCTCGCTTACTCCACCGGCCACAAGTATCTCGTGCCGTCACTTGTAGCACGGATTTTCTGCTTGCCACAATGTACTCGTGGAGACCATGCAAAGCAGGGTCATCACAGTCTAGCTCTATATGCCCTGTATTATAGGTCTAGCTCTATATGCCCTGTAATATATGTCTAGCTCTATATGCCCTGTATTATATGTCTAGCTCTATATGCCCTGTATTATAGGTCTAGCTCTATATGCCCTGTATTATAGGTCTAGCTCTATATGCCCTGTATTATAGGTCTAGCTCTATATGCCCTGTAATATATGTCTAGCTCTATATGCCCTGTATTATATGTCTAGCTCTATATGCCCTGTATTATAGGTCTAGCTCTATATGCCCTGTATTATAGGTCTAGCTCTATATGCCCTGTAATATATGTCTAGCTCTATATGCCCTGTATTATATGTCTAGCTCTATATGCCCTGTATTATATGTCTAGCTCTATATGCCCTGTATTATAGGTCTAGCTCTATATGCTCTGTATTATAGGTTTATCTCTATATGCCCTGTATTATATGTCTAGCTCTATATGCCCTGTATTATAGGTCTAGCTCTATATGCCCTGTATTATAGGTCTAGCTCTATATGCCCTGTATTATATGTCTAGCTCTATATGTCCTGTATTATAGGTCTAGCTCTATATATCCAGTATTATAGGTCTAGCTCTATATGCCCTGTATTATAGGTCTAGCTCTATATGCCCTGTATTATAGGTCTAGCTCTATATGCCCTGTATTATAGGTCTAGCTCTATATACCCTGTATTATAGGTCTAGCTCTATATGCCCTGTATTATAGGTCTAGCTCTATATGCCCTGTATTATAGGTCTAGCTCTATATGCTCTGTATTATAGGTTTAGCTCTATATACCCAGTATTATAGGTCTAGCTCTATATGCCCTGTATTATAGGTCTAGCTCTATATGCCCTGTATTATAGGTCTAGCTCTATATGCCCAGTATTATAGGTCTAGCTCTATATGCCCTGTATTATAGGTCTAGCTCTATATGCCCAGTATTATAGGTCTAGCCCTATATGCCCTGTGCGCCTGAAGGTGTGTGGAAGGGTCCTTTATTGTACTCTTGATATATTCAGCATGCCTCAGGACAAGGAGATCCTTGAACTGTTGGATGCGTTTAACTTTAGTTGATTTGTGACATTTCTCAGCCACTAAGTTTGAACTTATTCACAGTCATTTTTCTAGAAGTCATAGTAACTGGTGTAAATTAATCAGCCATCGAGTGCTGAGTTGGTGTGAAATATATTTGAATTGACTTGGGGTTTTGAGATGTATCTCTACAGTATGTTAATGGTCTGTTCAGTCAACTGTAAGTCATGCAGTCTAGAAACATTGTTTGCAGAAATGTCCTGTATTAATTATTCACCATTGATTAGGTTGTGAAGAACAATCTGAATCCAATCTGGCGAACCGTGGTGCTGCCAGTGCAGAGTCTGTGTGGGGGCAACAAGGATCAACAGATCAAGGTCAGTATCTTGTCTGGGCAGTATGTGGTCGAGAGAATCGAGTCTATGCCTGCCTGTCTTATCCTTCTTGTTATTCTTCTGTCCCTTTATTCCCCATTGGAGCACAGGCTCTTGGTCAAGGTGTCTGTTCTTACTGTCCTGTTTATGTCTTTTCCACCTTTTCCATTTAATTCTCTTATTCCCTTTTTCATGTGTTTTTGTCTACCTCTGTTTATTTGACACTATGAGTTCCACTGCTGAGACATTCTGGTTATATTTTCATCAGGTTTTATTGATGTATGTCCTATTCAACACCAGCGTCTTGTCCTCACCTTGTGATTCATTGCATTTAGTTAGTTTTCTTCCCAAAGCTGTGTTATTCTTGGTGATGTGGAAAGAGGGGTCCAACAGCAGAAAAGCAAATAATTATCTGTTAGTGGTCAAGTATTGTGCTGGACTGTGGTCAGCTGGTTTCGTTCTGTGTTAGTGGACTCCAGTCATCAGACTTGAGTCACTGTGTACTATAAACACACCATGTGTGGCTGCTTGTTGAGCATGGGTACCACTCACTTATCCTGTGTGCTTGTACTAGCACATAGATCTGACACTGTGTGTGTTGTTCATCAGGGTAGGGACATTTGACCCCTGTCAAATTAACTCTTGTGATATTAATGTAATCATGATTGCCCCCACTTGCCAGTTCCCGGAGTAAGTCCAAACTCCAGATGTAAATAAAAACCAGAATTTTAGTTTACAGTCTGCAAATTCTGACAGCAATGGCCACATATATTCACTATCTTGTCATGTCTATCCACTGCTGAATAATCAAGCGATCTGTTGTCAGCCAATATCAGCCTGTCTTACAAAATATTATTGATGTTGTCAGTCTGTCTGCTCCATTGCCTTCCTCATGTCTATGACTCATTCTTCGACAGTGGTAGGCATGTAGGGTTAGTTGTACATGGCAGATAACAGAGAGGCAACAACTGTGTACTTCACAAGGGAGTTGAATGGCTGTAGACACGACGCAGACCAAGAAGATGGTAGGGAAATAATATCGAAGAAGACCTACAAGCCAAGCCCCTGGAGTAGTCCCCAGCTAGAAAGAGAAGGCCAGTCACAGAGCACAGATAACAATGGAGGTGGCTGATGTCAGTAGCAATCAACCTCACCGGCTTGCAGTGCTGAAGAAGAAAAAGAAGTGTAACATTGCTTTCTAAATGGTCATTGGTCCATACCATTGTTAAAAGTGGTCTACTGCCAAGTCACTGCAGCTAAACTGAGCCGGGTATTTCTGAGTTATGAGCCCTGTTGGTAATACATAAACCACGGATGTGACTGTTTCTGTAGCTGACACATGATACTTGAAGCTGTCTGTTCCAAGCTGTGTTGTGTATTTTATACAATGTTTCCTGTAGATCGATTGTAATGACTGGGACGATGATGGCTCCCATGATTATATAGGTGGGTGTACAACAACCTTGAATGAGATGTTGAAGGCTTCAGCTGCTGAGGTAAGTGGTTCTCTTACTCTCTTTAACTGATGTTGTTTGTTACCCATTCTAGCAGCTACACAAGTCACTAACACACAATTAGTCACACAGTGTCTACTTTCTGTACTGCAGAGATGTTTTCCAGCCAGCAGGGGTCTTTCTCAGTCTCGCTCTTTTGTGTGTGGTGGTGTGTGGTGTGTGTGTGTGTGTGTGCGTGCGCGTGCGTGTTTGTGTGTGTGAAAAGGGGGAGCGAGAGCTCCGCTTGGTAATGCTGTCCTAATGATAATGAGAACTGGAACTGGGAAGAGGCAGGGACAAGATGAAGTGAGATACACAGACTAGCTGCCTTGCATGCAGCAGAGGTGTGCATAACCATTTGGCCACTGGATCTGTCAGTTTTTGGAGGGAGATGAAACACAAAGCACATATGGACATATCCTTGAGTGCTATGCCACCAGTGTTGGGTACTGATTAATAGGAATTGTATGCGGACTGTTTAAGGCTGTTTAAAGCAATACCCTGTCACCAAATGATGCCTGATTTCTTGAATACCTGACTATTTGACTGTACCTAAGTACCTTAGTATACTAGAGTACATGAGTGTACCTGAGTATTTGACTGTACCTAAGTACCTTAGTATACTAGAGTACATGAGTGTACCTGAGTATTTGACTGTACCTAAGTACCTTAGTATACTAGAGTACATGAGTGTACCTGAGTATTTGACTGTACCTAAGTACCTTAGTATACTAGAGTACATGAGTGTACCTGAGTATTTGACTGTACCTAAGTACCTTAGTATACTAGAGTACATGAGTGTACCTGAGTATTTGACTGTACCTGTACCTTAGTATACTAGAGTACATGAGTGTACCTGAGTATTTGACTGTACCTAAGTACCTTAGTATACTAGAGTACATGAGTGTACCTGAGTATTTGACTGTACCTAAGTACCTTAGTATACTAGAGTACATGAGTGTACCTGAGTATTTGACTGTACCTAAATATCTTAGTATACTAGAGTACATGAGTGTACCTGACTATTTGACTGTATCTAAGTACATTAGTATACTAGAGTACGTGAGTGTACCTGAGTATTTGACTGTACCTAAGTACCTTAGTATACTAGAGTACATGAGTGTACCTGAGTATTTGACTGTACCTAAGTACCTTAGTATACTAGAGTACATGAGTGTACCTGAGTATTTGACTGTACCTGAGTACCTTAGTATACTTGGAGTGTACTTGAGTATTTGACTGTACCTGAGTAACTTAGTATACTTGAGTATAGGAGTGTACTTGAGTATTTGACTGTACCTGAGTAACTTAGTATACTTGAGTACAGGAGTGTACCTGAGTATTTGACTGTACCTGAGTACGTTAGTATACTTGAGTACAGGAGTGTACCTGAGTACCTTAGTATACTTGAGTACAGGAGTGTACTTGAGCATTTGACTGTACCTGAGAACCTTAGTATACTTCACTTAAGTATAGGAGTGTACCTGAGTATTTGACTGTATCTGAGTACCTTAGTATACTTGACTTAAGTATAGGAGTGTACCTGAGTATTTGACTGTCTCTGAGTACATTAGTATACTTGAGTACAGGAGTGTACCTGAGTACCTTAGTATACTTGAGTACAGGAGTGTACCTGAGTACCTTAGTATACTTGAGTACAGGAGTGTACCTGAGTACCTTAGTATACTTGAGTACAGGAGTGTACTTGAGCATTTGACTGTATCTGAGTACCTTAGTATACTTGAGTACAGGAGTGTACTTGAGCATTTGACTGTATCTGAGTACCTTAGTATACTTGAGTACAGGAGTGTACTTGAGCATTTGACTGTATCTGAGTACCTTAGTATACTTGAGTACAGGAGTGTACTAGAGCATTTGACTGTATCTGAGTACCTCAGTATACTTGAGTACAGGAGTGTACTTGAGCATTTGACTGTATCTGAGTACCTTAGTATACTTGAGTACAGGAGTGTACTAGAGCATTTGACTGTATCTGAGTACCTTAGTATACTTGAGTACAGGAGTGTACTTGAGCATTTGACTGTATCTGAGTACCCTAGTATACTTGAGTACAGGAGTGTACTTGAGCATTTGACTGTATCTGAGTACCTTAGTATACTTGAGTACAGGAGTGTATTTGAGCATTTGACTGTATCTGAGTACCCTAGTATACTTGAGTACAGGAGTGTACTTGAGTATCTGACTGTAGTTGAGTATTTGACTCTTCTTAAGTACCTGACTTTACTGAAAGAGGCCATGAGTACTGGGTTCTGTCCAGGATATCGAATGATTGTACAGTATAGAATGTAGTGGAGGAATAGACTGCAAGCCCTGTGTGACGTGTACACTGTACAATAGCTTGGTGGTAGAATGTGACATGTCAGGTTGATACATTGATGCTGACTGTTGTGTTGATGTGATTGCAGCTGTGGTTCCCCTGTGGTAGAATGTGACATCTCAGGTTCATACATTGATGCTAACTGTTGTGTTGATGTGATTGCAGCTGTCGTTCCCCTGTGTCAACCCTGGAAAGAAGGCCAAGAAGAAGGGCTACACTGACTCAGGCACCATTATAGTTTCATCTTGCAAGGTGACATTTTTGCAATATTAGTTGTGTTACTCATCCTCTGCTTTAGGTCATGGTTTACTTCTTTTTTTCTTCTTGTTCTTCTCATGATTGTCCATGATTTCTTCTTCTCGTCTCCTTTCTCCTCTTCCTCTTCGACCCGACTGTTCTGAATGGAAGTTGAGTCAAAAGTATGGTGCACAGTTTCTGTCTCTTTGAAAATATAGTTGATTCTTCTTCTCTGTATCCTTCCTCCTGTATATACTTCCTCTTCCTCATTTTCTCCTTCATCCTCCTTTATGCATCTTTTCCCTTACTCATCTGTATATCTCTGTCTGCTCTTCTTCTTCTTCTTTTTCTTTTTCTTTCCATTTCTCTTCACCTCCTCATTCACCACTTCTTCTGCCTTTGGTTTTACTAACTACCAGTTTATAATTTTAGTCATTTATACTTCTCATTGGGAAAGTGTGACAGTGGTGGAGGAGGGGTGCATGGTAGCATGCTTATCTGCCAGGCTACTGGTCATGTGTTCATGTCCTTGAACCAAACATATATATATATTTTTTAAATAATTGGCTTCCAGGTGGACCCAGTTGGTGGCAGGAAACATTCTTGCATAGATCATGTGTATAGTTGGCCAGCATGGATCTATCATTGGTTGGCAGGAAACATTCTTGCATAGATCATGTGTATAGTTGGCCAGCATGGATCTATCGTTGGCTGGCAGGAAACATTCTTGCATAGATCATGTGCAAAGTTGGCCAGCATGGATCTATCATTAGCTGGCAGGAAACATTCTTGCATAGATCATGTGCAAAGTTGGCCAGCATGGATCTATCATTAGCTGGCAGGAAACATTCTTGCATAGATCATGTGCAAAGTTGGCCAGCATGGATCTATCATTGGCTGGCAGGAAACATTCTTGCATAGATCATGTGCAAAGTTAGCCAGCATGGATCTATCATTAGCTGGCAGGAAACATTCTTGCATAGATCATGTGCAAAGTTAGCCAGCATGGATCTATCATTAGCTGGCAGGAAACATTCTTGCATAGATCATGTGCAAAGTTAGCCAGCATGGATCTATCATTAGCTGGCAGGAAACATTCTTGCATAGATCATGTGCAAAGTTAGCCAGCATGGATCTATCATTGGCTGGCAGGAAACATTCTTGCATAGATCATGTGCAAAGTTAGCCAGCTTGGATCTGTCATTAGCTGGCAGGAAACATTCTTGCATAGATCATGTGTATAGTTAGCCAGCATGGATCTATCATTGGCTGGCTTCCAGTTGAACGCAGTTGGTGGCAGGAAACATTCTTGCATAGATCATGTGTATAGTTAGCCAGCGTGGATCTATCATTGGCTGGCAGGAAACATTCTTGCATAGATCATGTGTATAGTTAGCCAGCATGGATCTATCATTGGCTGGCAGGAAACATTCTTGCATAGATCATGTGTATAGTTAGCCAGCATGGATCTATCATTGGCTGGCAGGATATTATCAGCATCACCCACTGATGTTGGTTAGTCTTGAAACAGCATCATATGTCCAGTCTGCATCAAGGCACGGAGAAGAAACAGAGTCCTTGACTGTTCTTTCCCTTATACTCTACAGACACTTGACTGTTCTTTCACTTATGCTCTACAGACATACACCTGACTGTTCTTTCCCTTATACTTTACAGACATGACTGTCCTTTTACTTATACTCTACAGACATACACTTGACTGTTATTTCACTTATACTCTACAGACATTGACTGTTATTTCCCTTATACTCTACAGACACTTGGCTGTTATTTCCCTTATACTCTACAGACACTTGGCTGTTATTTCCCTTATACTCTACAGACAGACACTTGAATGTTATTTTCTTTATACTCTACAGACAGACACTTGACTGTTATTTCCCTTATACTCTACAGACACTTGGCTGTTATTTCCCTTATACTCTACAGACAGACACTTGACTGTTATTTCCCTTATACTCTACAGACAGACACTTGAATGTTATTTTCTTTATACTCTACAGACAGACACTTGACTGTTATTTCCCTTATACTTTACAGACATACACTTGACTGTTATTTCCCTTATACTCTACAGACAGACACTTGACTGTTATTTCCCTTATACTCTACAGACAGACACTTGAATGTTATTTTCTTTATACTCTACAGACAGACACTTGAATGTTATTTTCTTTATACTCTACAGACAGACACTTGAATGTTATTTTCTTTATACTCTACAGACAGACACTTGACTGTTATTTCCCTTATACTTTACAGACAGACACTTGACTGTTATTTCCCTTATACTCTACAGACATACACTTGACTGTTATTTCCTTTATACTCTACAGACATACACTTGACTGTTATTTCACTTATACTCTACAGACATACACTTGACTGTTATTTCACTTATACTCTACAGACATACACTTGACTGTTATTTCACTTATACTTTACAGACAGACACTTGACTGTTATTTCCCTTATACTTTACAGACAGACACTTGACTGTTATTTCCCTTATACTCTACAGACAGACACTTGGCTGTTATTTCCCTTATACTCTACAGACATACACTTGACTGTTATTTCCTTTATACTCTACAGACATACACTTGACTGTTATTTCACTTATACTCTACAGACAGACACTTGACTGATATTTCCCTTATACTCTACAGACAGACACTTGAATGTTCTTTCCCTTATACTCTACAGACAGACACTTGAATGTTCTTTCCCTTATACTCTACAGACAGACACTTGACTGTTATTTCCCTTATACTTTACAGACAGACACTTGACTGTTATTTCCCTTATACTCTACAGACATACACTTGACTGTTATTTCCTTTATACTCTACAGACATACACTTGACTGTTATTTCACTTATACTCTAGAGACATACACTTGACTGTTATTTCACTTATACTCTACAGACATACACTTGACTGTTATTTCACTTATACTTTACAGACAGACACTTGACTGTTATTTCCCTTATACTTTACAGACAGACACTTGACTGTTATTTCCCTTATACTCTACAGACAGACACTTGGCTGTTATTTCCCTTATACTCTACAGACATACACTTGACTGTTATTTCCTTTATACTCTACAGACATACACTTGACTGTTATTTCACTTATACTCTACAGACAGACACTTGACTGATATTTCCCTTATACTCTACAGACAGACACTTGACTGTTCTTTCCCTTATACTCTACAGACAGACACTTGACTGTTCTTTCCCTTATACTCTACAGACAGACACTTGACTGTTCTTTCCCTTATACTCTACAGACAGACACTTGACTGTTATTTCCCTTATACTCTACAGACATACACTTGACTGATATTTCCCTTATACTTTACAGACATTGACTGTTATTTCCCATATACTCTACAGACATAAACCTGACTGTTTTTTCACTTATACTTTACAGACATACACTTGACTGTTATTTCCCTTATACTCTACAGACAGACACTTGACTGTTATTTCCCTTATACTCTACAGACAGACACTTGGCTGTTATTTCCCTTATACTCTACAGACAGATACTTGAATGTTATTTCCCTTATACTCTACAGACAGACACTTGACTATTATTTCACTTATACTCTACAGACAGACACTGAATGATGTTTGTTGTAGTTGTAGCTCTGTAGCAGCAGTTACAATATGTTTTCCCTAGCTTGCCACCTAACAGTCAGCTGTGACAGCACAGTGCACGAGAGTTCATGGTAACAGTCAGCTGTGACAGCACAGTGCACAAGAGTTCATGGTAACAGTCACCTGTGACAGCACAGTGCACAAGAGTTCATAGTAACAGTCAGCTGTGACAGCACAGTGCACAAGAGTTCATGGTGACAGTCAGCTGTGACAGCACAGTGCACAAGAGTTCATGGTAACAGTCAGCTGTGACAGCACAGTGCACAAGAGTTCATGGTAACAGTCACCTGTGACAGCACAGTGCACAAGAGTTCATGGTAACAGTCAAGTGTGACAGCACAGTGCACAAGAGTTCATGGTAACAGTCACCTGTGACAGCACAGTGCACAAGAGTTCATGGTAACAGTCAGCTGTGACAGCACAGTGCACAAGAGTTTATGGTAACAGTCACCTGTGACAGCACAGTGCACAAGAGTTCATGGTAACAGTCACCTGTGACAGCACAGTGCACAAGAGTTCATGGTAACAGTCACCTGTGACAGCACAGTGCACAAGAGTTTATGATAACAGTCAGCTGTGACAGCACAGTGCACAAGAGTTCATGGTAACAGTCACCTGTGACAGCACCTTGCACAAGAGTTCATGGTAACAGTTAGCTGTGATAGCACAGTGCACAAGAGTTTATGGTAACAGTCAGCTGTAACAGCACAGTGCACAAGAGTTCATGGTAACAGTCAGCTGTGACAGCACAGTGCACAAGAGTTCATGGTAACAGTCAGCTGTGATAGCACAGTGCACAAGAGTTCATGGTAACAGTCAGCTGTGACAGCACAGTGCACAAGAGTTCAAGTCCACGTGAAAGTGCATTGTTTTTTAAAATGAACTTGGCTCCCAGATTGTAGATTGGTAACAGAAAATAACCTGTGAAGTAAAGGTGGTTGGTTGGATGTTGATTACATCACACATAAAGTACCAGTTGGTCTGTTAAAAACTGTTTAGCACCATATGCTCTGTGCAACAGTGGCATGAGAAGGGTCATTACCCTGTTTGTTCGCAGTGATATACCTGTACTCCATAGGGAGCTGGACAATGTTAATCAGTCTAAGGTCTTTATTGTTTCATCCACAGCTTGTGAAAGAACACACATTTTTGGAGTATATATTTGGTGGAATGCAGATCAACTTCACAGTGAGTGTGTTTCACACATAGTTCTGTAGTTCATCAGTAGCTATGAGAGGATTGGATCAAGTTAGTTGCAGGCCATCCCATAGCTAGACAGGGGACTGAATTGAATTATTGAATTAGGAATTGACATCAGAGCACACCGGACATACCCATAGATGCTCTGTCTCCCGCAGGAAATGTAAGGTGTAGATGCCGACTGTCTCCGTAGCACACTGATTATAAACTCATCGTTCTTTTCCTGTTGTATGTCCATCCTTGCTGGATCTACTGCTGTTTCCTGTGATATGTCCATCCTTGCTGGATCTACTGCTGTTTCCTGTGATATGTCCATCCTTGCTGGATCTACTGCTGTTTCCTGGTTCACACATTCTGACACCTGTTATTTCCTCTGATCTCCATCTTCTGTCAACATTCATTCATAATTAGTCTTCAGAATGTCTCCTTGTCAGTACAAACGTCCCTGCAGCTGTCTAGATAGGGGACACATTTGAGAAACTTGATATCAATATAACGAGAAAGTCATTTTTCCGGAACCTCCGGGAACATAGGCTGATCTAAACACAGATGAAGATGTGAGATTCTGTAGATAGGAGCAGACCTGACAACTTTACAGTCTGTTGTTGGTGACTTGTAGAAATAGATTTACAACAGTATTTTCTCTACAGATAGGAATAGACTACAGCTTTACAACAACATGATGCTGCAAGCAATTAAACAGTCAGATTGAGTCTTTGGACATATGGATCAAGAGAAGAATAGGGGGGGGGGGGATCAAAGCTGAAGAGGCTGCGGATGAAAAGGGGAATGCTGATAGACATAAAAAGGCAAGTGAAATATTTCTGCCACATTAAAAGACAACACTTTATAAAAACCATGGATGCCAATTCAATGAATTGAACTGATTCATAATTTCACAAATGGGAAGATGACATCAAGAGATGAACAGACAGCAGTCTCACAGAGTGAACAACGAGGATTGGAAACAGTGTATGTTGGAGATCTCATGCAGCCAACCTTCAGTGTGGAGATGGCACCTGATTGATTGATGATTGATTTGCCTTGAAGTAAAAATAAACCTTAACTTTACAGTGTTTGGTCCTGTGCAATGGTATTTTATCTTTTACAAATAGGCATATACTTTACAATATTGTCTTACTGACTGACTTAGTCGCTCCTCTTCTACCTTGGGGTGTATAGGTTTGCCAGAGAGATTGCCAGACTTCTCTGTCAGCAGTTGTCCTTGTGGCTTTGTTCTGTGCCAGTCCTCTGTCAGTTAGGGACTGTCAGATGTTATCTTCCCAGAGGACCCTGGGTCGCCCTGGAGGTCTGGTTCCCTGGTTCTTACCTCCCATGTCTGCCATGGTGGCCGATTTTCTCCTATTCTTCATACATGTCCAAACCATCGTAACTGTGACTGATCCGTTTGAGTTTGTAAGGCCTGGGTTTAAAGATCCTGACATATTGTTTGATTGGGAACTTTGTCCCTTCTTGTCACTTGGACCACCTTTTACAGATATATCATTTCTGAGGCCTGAAGTATTCTCTGTCAGCTGTTGTCATTGTATCTTTTACCATTAGGCATAGACTTTGTTTACAGCATTAAATATTTTCTCCTTTACATTAATTCATCTTCTACAGATAGGCAGAGACTTTTGTTTAGAAAACCATAAATTTAAATGTTCTCTTTTTCAATTGTTTGCTTTCTGCAGGTAGGCATTGACTTTACAGCATCCAATGGAAATCCATCCCAACCAAACTCCCTCCATTACATAAATCCACACTCACCCAATGAGTACATGCAAGCGATCATGGCTGTTGGCCAGGTGTGTCAGGATTATGACACGTAAGTTTTGGGAAAGTGTGTCAGGATTATGACACGTTAGTTTTAGGAAGGTGTGTCAGGATTATGACACGTAAGTTATGGGAAGGTGTGTCAGGATTATGACACGTACGTTTTGGGAAGGTGTGTCAGGATTATGACACATAAGTTATGGGAAGGTGTGTCAGGATTATGACACGTAAGTTTTGGGAAGGTGTGTCAGAATTATGACACGTAAGTTTTGGGAAGGTGTGTCAGGATTATGACACGTAAGTTATGGGTATGTGTGTCAGGATTATGACACGTAAGTTTTAGCAAGGTGTGTCAGGATTATAACACGTTAGTTTTGGAAATGTGTGTCAATATTATGACACGTAAGTTATGGAAATGTGTGTCAGGATTATGACACGTAAGTTTTGGGAAGGTGTGTCAGGATTATGACACGTAAGTTATGGGACTGTGTGTCAGGATTATGACACGTAAGTTTTGAGAAGGTGTGTCAATATTATGACAAGTAAGTTTTGGGAAGGAGTTTCAGGATTATGACACGTAAGTTTTGGGAAGGTGTGTCAGGTTTATGACACGTAAGTTATGGGAAGGTGTGTCAGGATTATAACACGTTAGTTATGGGAATGTGTATCAGGATTATGATACGTAAGTTTTGAGAAGGTGTGTCAGGATTATGACACGTAAGTTATGGGAAAGTGTGTCAGGATTATGACATGTAAGTTATGTGAAGGTGTGTCCGGAATATAACACGTAAGTTATGGGAAGGTGTGTCAGGATTATGACTTGTAAGTTGTGGGAATGTGTGTCAGGATTATGACACGTAAGTTGTGGTAATGTGTGTCAGGATTATGACACGTAAGTTATGGGAAGGTGTGTCAGGATTATGACTCGTAAGTTATGGGAAGGTGTGTCAGGATTATGACTCGTAAGTTATGGGAAGGTGTGTCAGGTTATGGGAATGTTTGTCAGGATTATGACTCGTAAGTTGTGGGAATGTGTGTCATGATTATGACTCGTAAGTTGTGGGAATGTGTGTCAGGATTATGACTCGTAAGTTGTGGAAGAGTGCGTCAGGATTATGGCACTAAAGTTTTGAGAAGGTGCGTCAGGATTATGGCACTTAAGTTTTGTGAAGGTGTCGGGATTATGACACATAAGTTTTAGGAATGTGTCAGTACATGGATGTATGTGTTTGTACATTAGGTTTAGGTTTAGACAATGGATCAACATCATGGCACAAGGGTACCCATATGTGCTCCGTTCTACTTGATTATGTCAGGACATTGATATATGTGATTATGTCAGGACATCGATATATGTGATTGGTCAGGACATTGGTATATGTGGTTATGTCAGGACATCGATATATGTGATTGTGTCAGGACATTGGTATATGTGATTATGTCAGGACATCGATATATGTGATTGTGTCAGGACATTGGTATATGTGGTTATGTCAGGACATCGATATATGTGATTATGTCAGGACATCGATATATGTGATTATGTCAGGACATTGATATATGTGATTATGTCAGGACATTGATATATGTGATTGTGTCAGGACATTGATATATGTGATTGTGTCAGGACATTGGTATATCTGATTGTGTCAGGACATTGATATATGTGATTATGTCAGGACATTGATATATGTGATTGTGTCAGGACATTGATATATGTGATTATGTCAGGACATTGATATATGTGATTGTGTCAGGACATTATTGATATATGTGATTGTGTCATGACATTGATATATCTGGTTGTGTCAGGACATTGATATATCTGGTTGTGTCAGGACATTGACCTGTGTGATTGTTTCAGGACATTATTATATCTGATTGTGTCAGGACATTGATATATCTGATTGTGTGAGGACATTGATATATCTGATTGTGTCAGGACATTGACAAATGTAAATGTTTCAGTACATTAAATTGTGTGACTATGTCATAACCTTGATTTGCGTGTGATTTTTTCAGGACATTGATATATGTGATTGTGTCAGGACATTGATATATCTGATTGTGTCAAGTCATTGATTTCTGTGATTGTGTCAGGATGTTGATATAATCTCACTGGTTTGAAAAGAATAATAAGGGAAGTTGTGGTTATTGGGCGGGACAGGAAACAGCTGGTGAGAGGATGGGAGGTTCCCTTGAGAGGAAATGATACAAGGCAAGGGAATTGTTAGTGGGTCCAAGAGGCTTTTCAATGAGAGACCTTCTGCCAAAAGATTCTCCACATGATGATGTTGAGTTCTGTTGTCTCCTGTGTGTGATTTCAGGGACAAAATGTTCCCAGCTCTAGGCTTTGGTGCTCGGATACCTCCATCCACCCAGGTGTTGCATGAGTTTGCCATCAACTTCAACGCACAGAACCCGTTTTGTGCAGGTAAGCTGCTTCAGTCCTGGACTTGCTTCGGTGACAGTTGTATTGTTGGTTTGTTTGTTTTGTTTTGGATAATTTGGGAAAGTAAGCAAATTTCTTCTTCAACGTTAAAAGCATGGTTGACTATGTTTTGTTGTAGTTTACAGCTAGGATGCAGTATATCTGTGCTTTTGAGCCCAGTATATTCACTTTTCAACTAAGCCCTAATTAGTGACCTTTTAGAAGATGCTTGTTAGCGGGTCATGGGGAGGGGGGGGGGGGCAGATCCCACACAGTGAGAATAGTTGTAACTCCCTCCAAGTCTGATGCATCAGCTTTCAGATTGTTTCTCAGCACTGACAAGGACTTATAAGTCTGTCGGCTGATACCAAAGTATTATCTTCATGGAGACTGTTTTGTAAAACACTCCTTATCCTCTCCAAATTCAGACTACAGCAGGAGGAGCATCACTGGCAATGGATGTTCACATCCATGAAGATACTTGAGTCAGATAGAACCAGGTCATGATTGAGCACGGCACACACAGCGCACACACACACAGCACACACACACAGCACACACACACACAGCACACACACACACACACAGCTCACACACACACACACAGCACACACACACAGCACACACTCACACAGCACACACACACAGCTCACACACACAGCTCACACACACACAGCACACACACAGCACACACACAGCGCACACAGCACACACACAGCGCACACAGCACACACACAGCACACACACAGCACACACACACAGCACACACACACACAGTGCACTCACACACAGCACACACACACAGACTGGCTGGCCGGCTGGGGTTTGGTTTGGAGCGGTCATGTTTCCTTCACAAGTTGTGTATATATCATTGTCAGCGGTCACTTTGTGCAGATTATCTGCCAATCAGTTACTAGCACCTTAGCATGCATGTCATAAGTGGTAGCTAAGGAGGTTTGGCATGATAGTGGCCACCTTGTCTCCTAGAAAAGTTTAGCTACCTAATGCAAGCAGTCATGGGTAAGTCTACACATGGGCTTGGCTGGAGTTGCTTTCATTGTGATGTTCCATTGGGAGATAGAAGCAGAAGAAGCGTGCCCTCTCATCTCACTTCTGTGTGTGTTGATCAGTACCTTTGAGTTTAGCTGTCACCTCAGGCTACAGGACTGATTACTAATTAAAGAATCAACATCATAGCGCACCGGCCATATCCATAGATGCTCCGTCTCCTGCAGCAGATGTCTTGAGCTGTCCATGCTGACTGTTCCCATAGCGCACTGATTGTGTATCTACACATGGTTCTGTTCCTTGCATGCTTTCCTCCTTACCAGATCCACGCTTAACCAAGTTCACGTATTCTTACGCATGTTATTTCATCTAACCTCATGTCTTCTGTCAGCATTTGTTCACAAATAGTCGTCAGAATGTTTCATTTGTCCAGCACAAATTTTTCTGTAGCCACAAAACTTTTTTTTTCGTTTTCTTTCATCTCGGACAGTATATCCACATGAGTCCGTTTATTGTTGATGTACTGATTGGTATCCAGTCATGCTCCTTTTGAACCTTGCCCCAGTACTGATGGAGAATCAGATGCAGTAATTCTCCTGGTCACTTGTGTTTTCTGCTGTCCACTTGAGAGCTGCATTGATTGCTTCCATCTCCATCCTGAAGCTTGATGCTGTAGATTCTGCTGTCCACTTCAGAGCTGCATTGGAAATAGCTGAGAATCCTCAAGCTTTAGGTAGATTGGACAGGGGAGGTGGGGCTGAGAATACATTATAGGAGAATGGACAAGTGGGGGGGGGGGGGTAATAAGACACAAATTAAAATTGTTAAGCATGTTGTGTTTCTTTAACCAGGTATCAGTGGTGTGCTGGCAGCGTACACAAACTGCATCCAGCATGTACAGTTGTACGGCCCCACAAACGTAGCTCCAATTATCAACCATGTGGCCAGGTTTGCTCAGGCGGCTCAGCAGGAGGAGCCGACCAAAGGGGCACATGTGAGCTCAGACTTGTTGTATATGATTGTGGATCAGAGACAGAGAGGCTGACATAAAGTAAGACAGACAGAGAAACTTAGACACAGACAGATAGGAAGATTGAAATAAAGAATGTTGAATGAAGAATCAACAACATAGCACTCGGGACACTCCTGTAAGCACCTCCTTCCCCATTCTTCAGCAGCAAATGAAGAGTTCCAGTTCCGTTGGTAGCAGTAACTGTCTGATTGTATATCCGTCTCACCCTTCCTTTGAGTGTTTAGCATCAGCCAGACATAAAGAAAGACAGAGATAGATGCACACACAAAGAGAAAAACGATTGAGGTAGATGGACTACTGATAGATGGGTGTTTGAAGAATCACCTTGAACTTAGTGTAGCTATAGCTATAAGTCTGTGCAGAACAGAACTTGAAGAAAGATTGTCTCATGTGAGCTTTCTTGGATGGCAGGAATAAGCCCAGGGTTGGGTTGCTGCTACTTCCTGGGAGGGTCATGCTGTGCAAATGTGGCTGTTCTTGATTGCTACCTGGGTTGTAAAACCATAAATGATGGCGGTCTGACATGGATGAAAGAAGCTTTAAGCCCAGAGACGGCGCAAATACCAGAACTTTAGCCACGAAAGTGGCGCAAATAAACATGACCACAAATATAGCCAGAGACTGTTGGCAGCTTCAGCTAGCTAGCAGCAGGTTGAACGTGGTTGAGTTTTTTTAATGAATTGGAATTACCTGGGTTTTAACACACCTGATATCTCACAATTGATGGAAACAGAAGAACAAATCAAATGAAGAAAAAAAAATATTTTAACGAGAGAAAGAGAGAGAAAAATTACATAAACATAGATTGACTGAATTACAAATGTACAGATTTTCCTATAGGAAAGAAAAGACGAGAGAGCTAGTTATTCAGTGTACACACACAAGCTATGACTGGCACAATCACTGTTGCCAGTAACCTGCCTTAACCCTTTCGCTGCTACGTTCCCGGAAATAGTTGTCCTCCCTGTGCTAAGCAATGGGAAAAAAAAAGTCTCTGCTGTGCGCAATACTTTTCTATCCTCTAAACGCAAAAGATGCGTCCGCGGTGAGGGCTATGTTTTGTTCACCTAAAAATTTTTACCCTGGGGAGTTGTGTGGTTGGTCCGAGTGGGTGACAAGTCAGAGGCACGATGGTGCCCCACAAACCTTGACTAACCGGGGGGGGGGGGGGATTAATGGGAGGAACTGTTCCCAGTACGTATCCCAAAATTTGATTGCCGAATCTACCACGGCTGCCACTTTAATCATATTTACTTGTAGTCACCATGTTATTACATACCAATATAATAAAAAAAAATATTCATTCATAATAATATACTCAAGTCGTCCGATGCTGAAAAGTAGGAGGAACTCAAAGGAAAATTTACAATTAATAAAAAAAAAAAAAAAAAAAAAAAAAAAAAAAAAAAAAAAAAAAAAACTTTGGGGGTTGAACACACGACCCTCCGATTCTAAGGCGAACGTGATACCAATTACACTATGCTACCTCTGGACGTATTGCGCTGTGTAAATGATCATAATGAATGATGTGCGCAGACTATCAATAATGTGTCTTAAGTTTGTAGTCTATCGCCGCCTGCATGAGCACTGTTGTCTAAGAAATGTTTGAGATTCTCAAACAATGGTAAAAATATGTCCCCTTGACATTATTTTTACGGGAAGTTTTTAGCAAACAGTCCTTTGCTCAAGTACTCTATTTTGAGTTTCTTTGTTCTAAGCATTAGCAGACAGACAGAAAAAAAAATTTCCGTTCGTCCGAATCTGTGTCTGTCCATCGGGAAAGACGAGAAATTTTAGTGACTTAAAACTATTTTAATTTACAGTAGCAGAAAATACAGATAGAGCTGGAATCATCAAAATTATGCACTACTGGTTTTCAAATCATCGGTTTCATCAAGATAACTGATCAATTTATTGCCGTTTTGATGGCGCTTCATTGTCGCTGCTCTCTGATTCCGACGATGAGGACGTCGGACAGGCAAACAGCTTTTTTTTTGGACACGCCGGTTTCAGCAGTCGATACTGATGGCCTAGTCAAAATCTTCTTGTTCACTGTCAGAAGCACATTTCAAAGTCATCGTCGCTATCACTTTTGACAGAAACTCCATCAATTCTCATCAACTTTAACAAGTTTTTTTCCATTTTGTACTAAGTGTAGAATAATCCCAAAAGCACAAAATATATATCAGGGCACAAAAAACTACACAGATCACCGACCACGCGTGTCACGGTAAACAAAGCAACGGGCTATCGCAAAAATGCAGAAACACGCCTTAAACACACCTAAAAGTACGTGCCAGTGCTTTTAATCATATGTAAATGGGTCAGTTTTATCTAAATATAGCTAATGTATATTGCCCTTCAGCCAATTAAATACGAGGGTAACAGAAATCTGTAAGAAAAGTCCAAAAATGGCTTAGGACGTCCATAGCACTGGGGGTCAGGAAAAAAAATAACGTCCAAAGACGGGCGTAGCAGCGTACGGGAAATCGGGAAAAGACGTCCATAGCAGCGAAAGGGTTAAGCTGTGCTACTGCAGAGTGTCTTCACCTTTCTTCTTCTGCTACCACCGCCGCCTGTGTTACTGCTGCTGCCACACCACCACCTGTGTTACTGCTGCTGCCATCCCCTCTGTTACTGCTACTGCTGCCACTGCCTGTTTTACTGCTGCTGCCAACTCCTTTTTTACTGCAGCCGCAACTGCCTCTGTTACTGCTGCTGCAACCACCACCCGTGTTACTGCTGCCGCTACTTTTTCCTCCTCCTCTGCTGCTTCCCTTCCTTGTTCTTTTCGTTCTTTCTTTCATCATCAGATGTCTTGTTGGCTTGTTTAAGCAAACTATCCTTTTCACAATGCAAGACTCTCAAGTGTTAGAACCTACCCACATACACCTGTGATCTTGTCCCTACTGCAGGCCTACTACGTGCTGCTACTGCTGACTGACGGGGTGCTCAGTGACATGGCTGACACCAAACATGCCATCGTGCAGGCCAGCAAACTTCCCATGTCCCTGATCATCGTCGGAGTCGGAGGGGCAGATTTCACTGACATGAATGAGCTGGACGGAGATAACGGTGTGTTAAGGTCCCCCTCTGGTGAAGCAGCCAACAGGGACATTGTCCAGTTTGTGCCATTCAGACAGTACAAGCAGGTAATTGAAATATTGATCTTGCTTGCCTAATACCTTTTGTGATATTTTTCTGCTAAGTTGTCTGCTTATTGATACTTTCCTCATAGGCTTGTATTTTTCATCCTCTGATCACTTGCTAATGCAGCGTGGACCTCAGAGAACTGGCATCAACCTTTGTTTGATCATTGAACTGGTCACTGCTGTCAAGATGTTTGTGTTAGCGTCAGTTCATCCCTAGTGTGCTTTTTCTCTCCAAGGGCCGAACAAAATAAAGTCACATGATGACAGATTGAGACTGTAGACGGAGAATGTCAAAGTCTCCTAAATCTGTCAAACAGCACTACCTGCACAGTATGTCAAAGGAGCTACCAAAGTCCAGTTTCTTTGTTTCTCCACTCATTGATTGTCTGAATGCCCTCTGCAAATTATTCTGATCATCCCCCCCCCCTCCAACAGTTATTTGTTGACCTCTTTCACATCTGCTAATGTACTGTTCATATTTATTTAATAAAGCCACAGGGGCAGCTTCTATTTGGGGTTAGGTTAGGTTTTGTCTAGGATATTTGTGTGTGTGGGATACTGAGCAGGCTGATAGACTGGCTGCTTCCACTCTTGTGGACAAGGAGCTACTTTATGATAAAGTGGATAGTAGTGAATGTGCTTTTACAGTGCAGTGAAACATATAGGGTTTCGTGCTGAAAAAGATTCATGGCTCGAAAGACCACTTTAGATTTCCAAAACCATTGTTGTGTTAGTTGGCTCCTGTCTCTTTTTTCTGGAAGGTTGCCTTCCATTTCTGTTCTTTCTGAACTTCTGTGACTTTAGTGTTTCCGAAGTGATTCTTAATTCTGAAGCGTGTTGCTGTTTTAGGAGTCAACGGTTTTTAGTGTTCAGATATTGTAGATTATCGTATTTGTTTTTGCCTTGTGGTCCATTATACTTTATGAATTTGAATGTATGGAACATTTCAGCTGTGAAGCTCAGTTTTGTACATTTAGCTATTGTGAAATGGTCTACGAGTGAATAGTAAAAAGACTATGGACTAGCTGTTTCTGTAGCAGTAGTTTTTGTCTGTCTATTTTAGTTGTGTTGTTAAAATCTTGAGCAGAGAATAGTTTTACATTAATGATTACTCTTTCAGAGCAGCCCAGCAGAACTGGCCCGTCATGTCCTGGCAGAGATCCCTCGACAGGTCACAGATTATTTCAAGATGAGAGCCATGCCGCCAAACCAGCTGCGGCCGGCACCAGCCGTTCCTCGTGTTGGCTAAAGCAGTTGACCAGATTATTTTAGCATCTATAAGTTTCATATTTAACTTTTCAATATTTAACACTTAAAGACAGACTTGCTTTGTGTCAAGCTGATGGTTTCTCTCTGCGTTTTCATGTACTCTCTGCTAAAGTGTAAGGGGTGTTGAGTTGACAGTTGTTGGTTGAAAAGTGAACACTGATAACTATGACTTGAACAAACCACAATCAAATGTTCAGCTGTTGACCAGGAATATTAATCTACTGTTGTGATAATATTGCCTCCAGATCTGGCCTTCTATTCTTTAGGGAAGTAATGTTACAATATTTACAATGATTCCAGTTGATTTTACCAGTATCTCATGCAATATGTCATTAATAATTTGCTTCTGTTGAATGTTAGTTTTACAGTTGGTATAGTCACAGTCTGTTTTACATGTTTACAGTATTTTCCTGTGAACTTTTTACTTTAAAAAAATATACACATAATGAAAAAATACTTATTTTAGTGGTTGAAGCTTTATGATTTAGCTTATTTGATATACATGGTTTTAAAAGATTGTACAATTCCTGTGTGGTAAAATATTAAAATTGTCTTTGGTTTTATAGACTGTATAGCAGGAGCGTAAGGTTTGAACTATAGCACCCACACACACACATGCATTCACGCACACATACACACACAGAACATGGCAACATTATGTGATAGGTATTGGTGAAGGGAAGGAGTCTCTGTATGTAAGATTTTGTGGGGAGAACGTATATTGGTGAAGGGTTCCAAGCTCAGGCTGAGGGTGGTTCTTTGGAGGAGCCCAGTGGCAGTGGGATTTTACAGCTTTGGAAGTGTCAATTGAGCAGTGTGTAGCCTTCCGCAGCTCTAAGACTGTCGGATCTGTTTGTGGAGTAGAGTGGTGATGTGACCTTGCATGACTTGGGAATGTGACCTTGCATGACTTGGGAATGTGACCTTGCATGGCTTGGGAATGTGACCTTGCATGACTTGGGAATGTGACCTTGCATGACTTGGGAATGTGACCTTGCATGGCTTGGGAATGTGACCTTGCATGGCTTGGGAATGTGACCTTGCATGACTTGGGAATGTGACCTTGCATGACTTGGGAATGTGACCTTGCAATGACTTGGGATGTGATCTTGCATGACCTTGGCTTGGGAATGTGACCTTGCATGGCTTGGACCTTTGCATGACTTGGGAATGTGACCTTGCATGACTTGGGAATGTGACCTTGCATGACTTGGGAATGTGACCTTGCATGACTTGGGAATGTGACCTTGCATGACTTGAGGACTGACAGATATATTGGTGGCACATAATGGTGACATAACCTGCAGAACACAACATCACCTGGTCACAACCAAGTGATGTTGATTGTGCTTAATGTATGGTGCCGACTTGTCCACTCAATAACAGTGTACCCCAAGAGCCCTAAACTGAGCCTGCAATACTCTAGTTTGTGTTGCCTCTTCTCTGCCACGGGGGAGCCGCTTGGGAGAGTCTAGCTTCATTGATCTGATGCTGTGATAGTGAAAATGTTAACATTTCAACTTGCTTGTTGTTGTTCGATATCCATTATGAGATTATTTGCTTACACTTTTGCACTTTTGCTTTTAGCTTTTTGTTATGCACACTGTTAGCACTTTTTATTTTGAAGCTGTCTGCTTGAATTGTTCTCTTCCAGATATGTATTTATAGTCACTTTTTATATTTTTTCATTGATGCTTGCAGGGTTATGACTAAAATATATTTTATTAAGTCATTCACTTGTAATCATGTCTCTTTTACATTGTGATCTAGAGGTAATCTGTTGCTTTGTTTCTCTTCTGTCCTGGGATACAGAGGTATCTTGTGACCTTGTTTGATTGATTTTAACATAATAAAGGGAAAGCATGACTAATGAAACTAAGGCCAGTGACTTGATCTCTAGTAGAACAATTTACCATAGACTTGCCCCATGAAGATACTATTGGTGTAGTTGTGATAATCAATGTTTGACGGTTCCATTTGGCTTCATTTGAAAACTCAGGTAATTGTTAAAAATGGTCCTCTATTTAATGATGTTGTTATACAAGTTAGATATCATGGGTCTGCTTCATGATAAGGTGTTAGCAGAGACATGACTGGTTTATTTTTGTGTGTAATGTTTTGCAAGGAGGGGTATGATTGCTCCATTTCATTGTAATGTGTCACAAAGAGGTATAATTGCTCCATTTCATTGTAATATGTCACAAAGAGGTATAATTGCTCCATTTCATTGTAATATGTCACAAAGAGGTATAATTGCTCCATTTCATTGTAATATGTCACAAAGGGGTATGATTGCTCCATTTCATTGTAATATGTCACAAAGAGGTATGGTTGGTCCATTTCACTGTAATGTGTTGCAAAGAGGTATGATTGCTCTATTTCATTGTAATGTGTCGCAAAGAGGTATAATTGCTCCATTTCATTGTAATATGTCACAAAGAGGTATAATTGCTCCATTTCATTGTAACATGTCACAAAGGGGTATGATTGCTCCATTTCATTGTAATATGTCACAAAGAGGTATGGTTGGTCCATTTCATTGTAATGTGTCACAAAGAGGTATGGTTGCTCCATTTCATTTTAATGTGTCACAAAGAGGTATAATTGCTCCATTTCATTGTAACATGTCACAAAGGGGTATGATTGCTCCATTTCATTGTAATATGTCACAAAGGGGTATGATTGCTCCATTTCATTTTAATATGTCACAAAGAGGTATGGTTGCTCCATTTCACTGAAATGTGTCTCAAAGAGGTATTTCATTGTGGTTGGTAGAGACAGGATTGGTCATTGTCTCATTATCATTACAGTTTAAAATGGCCAGTGTTTTATGCGGCACAGAGAAACAATAGGCGGTGGTGTTACAGAGGAAGGACTTGATTGGTCTGTTTATTTTAGTGTTTACACAAGGAGAGCTGGGATGTGTGTTGTTTGGGGCTACAACTGTTGTGATGATATATGACTGACTCTAGATGTCAGATGTTGATATCTTGGCTGATATGGCCACTTGATACTCAGGCGGCCAAACACTTTTGTTATAAAAAGGAAAGGATCAATTTGAATGTACAAGGTTGTTTCCTGTCTAGACCAGCCTCTCTCCACTCTAGTGTGGTGTGCCACCTGCCTAAAGCATCGTACACAATCATCAATACTTATCTTTATTGTGGACAAAACAAGATTGTCTGTTACATGACTCTTATGAAATGAAGGCTGCAGGAAAAAAATATTGTTTGGCACAGATTGTGGCTGGTTTGTCCACGTCACTAAAAAGATAACTTTGCTTCCATCTGTTTTTGCCTGACACCAGGGAAAGAAGAAAAGCTCAAAGGCAGCGTGTTCACTCGTAAAATAGACTATTGAACACAATACAGAACACACAGTTGGCCTTTATGGCTTAGGCATTGTGAACATGTTTCATAATTCCAAAGTACCCAGTTTGAATACAGCTGCTGAAGATTTGGCAGCAGACTGCTGTGCTTTGATTTTTGCACAGGCATTGAAATGCTGACTGATCATTAAGCAGTGGCAAAATACTGAAGGTAACATTACCTAGTGGAGCCAAACAAAGGATATGCAAATAACTGAACAGAACATAATAGCGTTCTATGGCACCTGGCCTACTAGCTAAAGGAGAGCAGTTACTGGCTCAGGTTGTGAACAAGAGCATTTACATACATTGTCCAATATCCATGTGTTGATCTATTCTGTCTTACTGGGAAGCATTGTTTTGATGCTAATTGTTGATTATATTGAGTGTGTTTTTAGTCTCCTCAAACTTGGCCCAAAGAACACAAATGTATATGCATTTTTTTACATTGATGTTGTTGATGATTCCCTTTTTTATCTCTGAAATGGCATGAGGATTGTGTACAGGAATATCACTTTGTTGTCATGAACTGTTGAAAGTGAACTCATGCAGCCAACCTGTGAATGTTAAAGCAACAACTGAATGGGGTAAATCCTTTGAGTGTTCTTTCACAGGGCTCACTTATAAACACCTGGTGAACACCACATGCATGGTCAGATTTCTTTAGTGTGCTGTGGCTGAATATGATAGCAACAGTTACACACGATGTGTTGGCTGCTACACATGGCAATAGTCAGTCACACATTTTCTGTGTGAGAATGGGGAGCTGTGGTAGTGTAAAGGCTAGATACTCATCTGTTAGCTTTGGGGATTTTGGGTTCAAACCCACATTGAGTCCATTTTTAATTTTTCAAAAGTGACCTTAACTGCCTGGTTGAACCAGACTAAAGTGGGTACCAGGTCAACTCCTGGGAATTAAAATTAATCCTTACGATGTTAGGGCTTTCAGAGGTGCCCATGTATTTACTGACCATTTTCTGGTGGTAAGTAAAATCAAGTTGAAACTTAAAATATGCATAACATCTTATAATCATAGAAACCAGTATAATGTAGGTTATCCCAGTGATAAAAAAGTTAAGGAACAATTTTAACAGTCTCTAATAAATACCAGGTGATGCAGCAGCTAGTTGAAGATGTCAGCACTGAAGTCTGCTGGGATTAGATCAAGGGAATCTGGAATGAATCTTGTGTAGAAGTTCTTGGCAAGAAAGAACGGAAACATAAAGCGTGGATAACACCAGAAACCATTAAATTGATTGAAGAAATTTAAAGTAAAAAGGCAGACTTAAACAATAACAAGACTAGAGCTGCTAAAGCTAGAGCTCAGGATAAATTCACAGAAGCCAAAAAGAAGTTAGGAGGCGTATAAAGGCAGATAAAGTGAAATATTTTATATGATCTAGCACAAGAAGTAGAGACAGCAGCAGCAAAAAGAGAACTTTACAGTAACACAAGAAAATTAGTAGGTAAATATAGTCAGCCAACTGGATCAAACAAATATAGTCAAGGAAAGGTACTTACTAACACTAAAGATCAAATGGACAGATGGGTTGAATATTTTGAAATGCTTCTAAATAGACCAGGCCCAGAGGTTCGTCCCCAGATATCCAGCC